TAAGTGATCACAGATTTTCATTGTTTTGGCCCTAGCTCTTCTAGTTTAGCCAGAAAATTGACTTTTATGTTTTCACTCAAAAAATCGAATTTTGGAAGGGTTTATAAGTGATCACAGATTTTCATTGTTTTGGCCCTAGCTCTTCTAGTTTAGCCAGAAAATGGACTTTTATGTTTACACTCAAAAAATCGAATTTTGGTAGGATTTATAAGTGATCACAGATTTTTATTGTTTTGGCCCTAGCTCTTCTAGTTTAGCCAGAAAATGGACTTTTAAGTTTTCACTCAAAAAATCGAATTTTGGAAGGATTTATAAGTGATCACAGATTTTCATTGTTTTGGCCCTAGCTCTTCTAGTTTAGCCAGAAAATGGATTTTTATGTTTTCAGTCCAAAAATCGAATTTTGGAAGGATTTATAAGTGATCACAGATTTTCATTGTTTTGGCCCTAGCTCTTCTAGTTTAGCCAGAAAATGGACTTTTATGTTTACACTCAAAAAATCGAATTTTGGTGGATTTATAAGTGATCACAGATTTTCATTGTTTTGGCCCTAGCTCGTCTAGTTTAGCCAGAAAATGGACTTTTATGTTTTCACTCAAAAAATCGAATTTTGAAAGGATTTATAAGTGATCACAGATTTTCATTGTTTTGGCCCTAGCTCGTCTAGTTTAGCCAGAAAATGGACTTTTATATTTTCACTCAAAAAATTGAATTTTGGAAGGACTTATAAGTGATCACAGATTTTCATTGTTTTGGCCCTAGCTCGTCTAGTTTAGCCAGAAAATGGACTTTTATGTTTTCACTCAAAAAATTGAGTTTTGAAAGGATTTATAAGTGATCACAGATTTTCATTGTTTTGGCCCTAGCTCGTCTAGTTTAGCCAGAAAATGGACTTTTATGTTTTCACTCAATATCCGAATTTTGGAAGGGTTTATATGTGATCACAGATTTTCATTGTTTTGGCCCTAGCTCTTCTAGTTTAGCCAGAAAATGGATTTTTATGTTTTCACTCAAAAAATCGAATTTTGGAAGGGTTTATAAGTGATCACAGATTTTCATTGTTTTGGCCCTAGCTCTTCTAGTTTAGCCAGAAAATGGACTTTCAAAATCGAATTTTGAAAGGATTTATAAGTGATCACAGATTTTCATTGTTTTGGCCCTAGCTCGTCTAGTTTAGCCAGAAAATGGACTTTTATGTTTTCACTCAAAAAATTGAATTTTGAAAGGATTTATAAGTGATCACAGATTTTCATTGTTTTGGCCCTAGCTCGTCTAGTTTAGCCAGAAAATGGACTTTTATGTTTTCACTCAATATCCGAATTTTGGAAGGGTTTATATGTGATCACAGATTTTCATTGTTTTGGCCCTAGCTCTTCTAGTTTAGCCAGAAAATGGATTTTTATGTTTTCACTCAAAAAATCGAATTTTGGAAGGGTTTATAAGTGATCACAGATTTTCATTGTTTTGGCCCTAGCTCTTCTAGTTTAGCCAGAAAATGGATTTTTATGTTTTCACTCAAAAAATCGAATTTTGGAAGGGTTTATAAGTGATCACAGATTTTCATTGTTTTGGCCCGAGCTCTTCTAGTTTATCCAGAAAATGGACTTTTAAGTTTTCACTCAAAAAATCGAATTTTGGTAGGATTTATAAGTGATCACAGATTTTCATTGTTTTGGCCCTAGCTCTTCTAGTTTAGCCAGAAAATTGACTTTTATGTTTTCACTAAAAAAATCGAATTTTGGAAGGATTTATAAGTGATCACAGATTTTCATTGAATTTTGGACGGGTTTATAAGTGGTCACAGATTTTCATTGTTTTGGCCCTAGCTCTTCTAGTTTAGCCAGAAAATGGATTTTTATGTTTTCAGTCCAAAAATCGAATTTTGGAAGGATTTATAAGTGATCACAGATTTTCATTGTTTTGGCCCTAGCTCTTCTAGTTTAGCCAGAAAATGGACTTTTATGTTTACACTCAAAAAATCGAATTTTGGTGGATTTATAAGTGATCACAGATTTTCATTGTTTTGGCCCTAGCTCGTCTAGTTTAGCCAGAAAATGGACTTTTATGTTTTCACTCAAAAAATCGAATTTTGAAAGGATTTATAAGTGATCACAGATTTTCATTGTTTTGGCCCTAGCTCGTCTAGTTTAGCCAGAAAATGGACTTTTATATTTTCACTCAAAAAATTGAATTTTGGAAGGACTTATAAGTGATCACAGATTTTCATTGTTTTGGCCCTAGCTCTTCTAGTTTAGCCAGAAAATGGACTTTCAAAATCGAATTTTGAAAGGATTTATAAGTGATCACAGATTTTCATTGTTTTGGCCCTAGCTCGTCTAGTTTAGCCAGAAAATGGACTTTTATGTTTTCACTCAAAAAATTGAATTTTGAAAGGATTTATAAGTGATCACAGATTTTCATTGTTTTGGCCCTAGCTCGTCTAGTTTAGCCAGAAAATGGACTTTTATGTTTTCACTCAATATCCGAATTTTGGAAGGGTTTATATGTGATCACAGATTTTCATTGTTTTGGCCCTAGCTCGTCTAGTTTAGTCAGAAAATGGACTTTTATGTTTTCACTCAAAAAATTGAATTTTGGAAGGATTTATAAGTGATCACAGATTTTCATTGTTTTGGCCCTAGCTCTTCTAGTTTAGCCAGAAAATGGACTTTTATGTTTTCACTCAAAAAATCGAATTTTGAAAGGATTTATAAGTGATCACAGATTTTCATTGTTTTGGCCCTAGCTCGTCTAATTTAGCCAGAAAATGGACTTTTATGTTTTCACTCAAAATCCGAATTTTTATGTTTTCACTCAAAAAATCGAATTTTGAAAGGATTTATAAGTGATCACAGATTTTCATTGTTTTGGCCCTAGCTCGTCTAGTTTAGCCAGAAAATGGACTTTTATGTTTTCACTCAAAATCCGAATTTTGGAAGGATTTATAAGTGATCACAGATTTTCATTGTTTTGGCCCTAGCTCGTCTAGTTTAGCCAGAAAATGGACTTTTATGTTTACACTAAAAAAAGCGATTTCTGGAAGGATTTATAAGTGATCACAGATTGTTATGGACCTAGCTCTTCTAGTTTGGCCAGAAAATGGACTTTTATGTTTACACTCAAAATCTGAATTTTGAAAGGATTTATAAGTGATCACAGATTTTCGTTGTTTTGGCCCTAGCTCTTCTAGTTTAGCCAGAAAATGGACTTTTATGTTTTCACTCAAAAAATCGAATTTGGGTAGGATTTATAAGTGATCACAGATTTTTATTGTTTTGGCCCTAGCTCTTCTTGTTTGGCCAGAAGATGGACTTTTATGTTTTCACTCAAAATCCGAATTTTGAAAGGATTTATAAGTGATCACAGATTTTCATTGTTTTGGCCCTAGCTCTTCTAGTTTAGCCAGAAAATGGACTTTTATGTTTTCACTCAAATAATCGAAATTTGGAAGGATTTATATGTGATCACAGATTTTCATTGTTTTGGCCCTAGCTCGTCTAGTTTAGCCAGAAAATTGACTTTTATGTTTTCACTCAAAATCCGAATTTTGGAAGGGTTTATAAGTGATCACAGATTTTCATTGTTTTGGCCCTAGCTCGTCTAGTTTAGCCAGAAAATGGACTTTTATGTTTTTACTCAAAATCCGAATTTTGGAAGGGTTTATAAGTGATCACAGATTTTCATTGTTTTGGCCCTAGCTCGTCTAGTTTAGCCAGAAAATGAACTTTTATGTTTTCACTCAAAAAATCGAATTTGGGTAGGATTTATAAGTGATCACAGATTTTCATTGTTTTGGACCTAGCTCTTCTAGTTTGGCCAGAAAATGGACTTTTATGTTTACACTCAAAATCTGAATTTTGAAAGGATTTATAAGTGATCACAGATTTTCGTTGTTTTGGCCCTAGCTCTTCTAGTTTAGCCAGAAAATGGACTTTTATGTTTTCACTCAAAAAATCGAATTTGGGTAGGATTTATAAGTGATCACAGATTTTTATTGTTTTGGCCCTAGCTCTTCTTGTTTGGCCAGAAGATGGACTTTTATGTTTTCACTCAAAATCCGAATTTTGAAAGGATTTATAAGTGATCACAGATTTTCATTGTTTTGGCCCTAGCTCTTCTAGTTTAGCCAGAAAATTGACTTTTATGTTTTCACTCAAAATCCGAATTTTGGAAGGGTTTATAAGTGATCACAGATTTTCATTGTTTTGGCCCTAGCTCGTCTAGTTTAGCCAGAAAATGGACTTTTATGTTTTTACTCAAAATCCGAATTTTGGAAGGGTTTATAAGTGATCACAGATTTTCATTGTTTTGGCCCTAGCTCGTCTAGTTTAGCAAGAAAATGGACTTTTATGTTTTCACTCAAAATCCGAATTTTGAAAGGATTTATAAGTGATCACAGATTTTCATTGTTTTGGCCCTCGCTCGTCTAGTTTAGCCAGAAAATGGACTTTTATGTTTTTACTCAAAATCCGAATTTTGGAAGGGTTTATAAGTGATCACAGATTTTCATTGTTTTGGCCCTAGCTCTTCTAGTTTAGCCAGAAAATGGACTTTTATGTTTTCACTCAAAAAATTGAATTTTGGAAGGACTTATAAGTGATCACAGATTTTCATTGTTTTGGCCCTAGCTCTTCTAGTTTAGCCAGAAAATGGACTTTTATGTTTTCACTCAAAATCCGAATTTTGGAAGGATTTATATGTGATCACAGATTTTCATTGTTTTGGCCCTAGCTCGTCTAGTTTAGCCAGAAAATTGACTTTTATGTCTTTACTCAAAAAATCGAATTTTGAAAGGATTTATAAGTGATCGCAGATTTTCATTGTTTTGGCCCTAGCTCGTCTAGTTTAGCCATAAAATGGACTTTTGTGTTTTCACTCAAAAAGTCGAATTTTGGTAGGATTTATAAGTGATCACAGAAAGTCATTGTTTTGGCCCTAGCTCCTATAGTTTAGCCAGAAAATGGACTTTTATGTTTTCACTCAAAAAATCGAATACTCACAATTTTTGTGCCAAATACTCTGCCCTCCTCTTCGAAATACGATTCAAATTACAAATGGTAACCGCCGGAAAGGGTATAGACCAAGTGGGATATTGTGTACTTTCCGAATATAAGATGGTGGGTGTATTGGTGTTCATAAAGTGAGACAGCAATAGAATAAATCCGGACATTACAACCGCAGTTAGAACCACCAGAAACCAAAATGCCCGCTGCCAAGTGGTGGCGCCCACAAAATTAATAAAACCATGAATACTAGCCATTTCACAATAGATTTCAAAACCCGATTTACGTTTGCACAAACCATCATCATTGCGTGCCTTAAGGAAAGCCAAAAAGGCGGGCAGTTGTATACTGCCCAGGGCTAAGCGGGAGGGTTTATTAAAGGTTTTATTATGCCATATGGAGGCAATTTTGGATATGTCGACTTTACAGCTGGAGTTGGTAGGGAGCTTAAGTGTTCTCTTCTTTTTTGAGTGAAATAGTTTTTGCAGTTTTTCCTTCAGCAGTTGATAGTTGGACTTGCGGCCCGCTATTAGTACTGGATGTTCCAATAGTTTTAAACGCATTTGAGAATTGGTAGAACTATTTTGATTGAATAGTAGTTGATTGGGTTTCTTAACACTTTTCGGTTTTAAATAGTCCTCGAAGGTTAAGTAATAGGTTATCTCAGCTGAGGATTTCTCAGTTTTATTGGAGGAAATAGTTTTAGCCATTAGGTTAATAATTATAGTTACAGTTACTTTTAAAGAATAAACGTATTCTTGGAATTGTAAGGGGTTTTATATGGGATTTATGGCTGACAGGGATGGAAAATTTAAATTTTGAAACTAACTAATCGCAAAAAAGTGCTTTTGCAGTTATCGATTCTATAGTCTATAGACTAGACTATAGACAGACTATAGACTAGACTATGGACTAGACTATAGACTAGGCTATAGACTAGACTATAGACTAGACTATAGACTAGACTATAGACCAGACTATAGACTAGACTATGGACTAGACTATAGACTAGACTATAGACTAGACTATAGACTAGACTATAGACTAGACTATAGACTAGACTATAGACTAGACTATAGACTAGACTATAGACTAGACTATAGACTAGACTATAGACTAGACTATAGACTAGACTATAGACAGACTATAGACTAGACTATAGACTAGACTATAGACTAGACTATAGACTAGACTATAGACTAGACTATAGACTAGACTATAGACTAGACTATAGACTAGACTATAGACTAGACTATAGACTAGACTATAGACTAGACTATAGACTAGACTATAGACTAGACTATAGACTAGACTATAGACTAGACTATAGACTAGACTATAGACTAGACTATAGACTAGACTATAGACTAGACTATAGACTAGACTATAGACTAGACTATAGACTAGACTATATACTAGACTATAGACTAGACTATAGACTAGACTATAGACTAGACTATAGACTAGACTATAGACTAGACTATAGACTAGACTATAGACTAGACTATAGACTAGACTATAGACTAGACTATAGACTAGACTATAGACTAGACTATAGACTAGACTATAGACTAGACTATAGACTAGACTATAGACTAGACTATAGACTAGACTATAGACTAGACTATAGACTAGACTATAGACTAGACTATAGACTAGACTATAGACTAGGACTATAGACTAGACTATAGACTAGACTATAGACTAGACTATAGACTAGACTATAGACTAGACTATAGACTAGACTATAGACTAGACTATAGACTAGACTATAGACTAGACTATAGACTAGACTATAGACTAGACTATAGACTAGACTATAGACTAGACTATAGACTAGACTATAGACTAGACTATAGACTAGACTATAGACTAGACTATAGACTAGACTATAGACTAGACTATAGACTAGACTATAGACTAGACTATAGACTAGACTATAGACTAGACTAGACTAGACTATAGACTAGACTATAGACTAGACTAGACTAGACTATAGACTAGACTATAGACTAGACTATAGACTAGACTATAGACTAGACTATAGACTAGACTATAGACTAGACTATAGACTAGACTATAGACTAGACTATAGACTAGACTATAGACTAGACTATAGACTAGACTATAGACTAGACTATAGACTAGACTATAGACTAGACTATAGACTAGACTAGACTAGACTATAGACTAGACTATATACTAGACTAAGACTTGACTATAGACTAGACTATAGACTAGACTATAGACTAGACTATAGACTAGCTATAGACTAGACTATAGACTATAGACTAGACTATAGACTAGACTATAGACTAGACTATAGACTAGACTATAGACTAGACTATAGACTAGACTATAGACTAGACTATAGACTAGACTATAGACTAGACTATTGACTAGACTATTGACTAGCTAACTATAGACTAGACTATAGACTAGACTATAGACTAGACTATAGACTAGACTATAGACTAGACTATAGACTAGACTATAGACTAGACTATAGACTAGACTATAGACTAGACTATAGACTAGACTATAGACTAACTAGACTAGACTATAGACTAGACTATAGACTAGACTATAGACTAGACTATAGACTAGTCTATAGACTATAGACTAGACTATAGACTAGACTATAGACTAGTCTATAGACTATAGACTAGACTATAGACTAGATATAGACTAGACTATAGACTAGACTATAGACTAGACTATAGACTAGACTATAGACTAGACTATAGACTAGACTATAGACTAGACTATAGACTAGACTATAGACTAGACTATAGACTAGACTATAGACTAGACTATAGACTAGACTATAGACTAGACTATAGACTAGACTATAGACTAGACTATAGACTAGACTATAGACTAGACTATAGACTAGACTATAGACTAGACTATAGACTAGACTATAGACTAGACTATAGACTAGACTATAGACTAGACTATAGACTAGAGTATAGACTAGACTATAGACTAGACTATAGACTAGACTAGACTATAGACTAGACTAGACTATAGACTAGACTAGACTATAGACTAGACTATAGACTAGACTATAGACTAGACTATAGACTAGACTATAGACTAGACTATAGACTAGACTATAGACTAGACTATAGACTAGACTATAGACTAGACTATAGACTAGACTATAGACTAGACTATAGACTAGACTATAGACTAGACTATAGACTAGACTATAGACTAGACTATAGACTAGACTATAGACTAGACTATAGACTAGACTATAGACTAGACTATAGACTAGACTATAGACTAGACTATAGACTAGACTATAGACTAAACTATAGACTAGACAATAGACTAGACTATAAGTTAGAAAGTGCTGGATTTTCCATACCTGATGTGTTAACAAATAAAAAGATTTTTATCTTTTAATCAAATAAAACGCCTTTTTAATGTTAATTTTATATGCCGCCTAAAAATATACATTATTTTATTAGATTCTTATTAAATCTAAAGTTTGATAACTATTGCTGGTTAGCTTTTCTAACATATTAGGTTTACTAACCCACCAAATATCATCCCTCTCAGTACCCCCTTTCCTTTCTCCTTCTTATCTTTTGCCTTAATACTCCTCACCTTTCTCTCATTATCTACTAATTAGTTTTGTTTACCATTTGTTGTTTTGCACTCCCTCTCTCAATGTATTGTTTTCATTTTTTCATTTCGTTTTTAATTTATTGTTGTTTATTTGTTTTATTCGCTTTATTTGCTTCTTAATCCATTATTTATTAAACGAACGAGCGTACAATTGAAACATTTACAATAGATATAGTTTATTATTATTTTTTTTTTTTTGCAATAGAAATTCTATGAAATCAATTCGTTTTCTTAAATTTTTATTTTACTTGCAAAACTGTTTACATTTCATGAGGAAGTACGCATAAATTCTACGAACGTCGTATATCCATAAAATATTTAATTTAATTTATTGTTTTGGTCTAAAAAAAATGTACCAACGACAATGCGAGCTTGCTTGCCTTTAAGATATCCATGTGAGAAGAAAATTAAATTCATTTGAATTTGTTTATTAATCGTTATATAAATATAAAAAAATATTCTTAACAATTTGTGGGATTTTTATGCGGTTGAATAAAATTGCGGGGAAATCCTAAAGATTTCAAAATCATAGCATAACTGAATTCCTAAATCATCTCAATTATGCTAAATACAACTACAATCATCTCTGGTAGTGGCTTCTTAAAACATTGGTGCCTTAATCGAACCATTTCCTCCATTTAAATCATAACAAAACCCGCATCCTGAGTTAAAATCATTCCCTTACCTCCTATCGAAGAAGTAAATGTTCAAAAAGTTCGTTCACCTAGACTATAGACTAGACTATAGACTAGACTAGACTATAGACTAGACTAGACTATAGACTAGACTAGACTATAGACTAGACTATAGACTAGACTATAGACTAGACTATAGACTAGACTATAGACTAGACTATAGACTAGACTATAGACTAGACTATAGACTAGACTATAGACTAGACTATAGACTAGACTATAGACTAGACTATAGACTAGACTATAGACTAGACTATAGACTAGACTATAGACTAGACTATAGACTAGACTATACACTAGACTATAGACTAGACTAGACTAGACTAGACTATAGACTAGACTAGACTATAGACTAGACTAGACTATAGACTAGACTAGACTATAGACTAGACTAGACTAGACTAGACTAGACTATAGACTAGACTAGACTATAGACTAGACTAGACTATAGACTTAACTATAGACTACTAGACTATAGACTAGACTAGACTAGACTATAGACTAGACTAGACTATAGACTAGACTAGACTAGACTAGACTATAGACTAGACTAGACTAGACTAGACTAGACTAGACTAGACTATAGACTAGACTAGACTAGACTATAGACTAGACTAGACTATAGACTAGACTAGACTATAGACTAGACTATAGACTAGACTAGACTATAGACTAGACTAGACTATAGACTAGACTAGACTATAGACTAGACTAGACTATAGACTAGACTATAGACTAGACTAGACTATAGACTAGACTAGACTATAGACTAGACTATAGACTAGACTATAGACTAGACTATAGACTAGACTATAGACTAGACTATAGACTAGACTATAGACTAGACTATAGACTAGACTATAGACTAGACTATAGACTAGACTATAGACTAGACTAGACTATAGACTAGACTATAGACTAGACTATAGACTAGACTATAGACTAGACTATAGACTAGACTATAGACTAGACTATAGACTAGACTAGACTAGACTAGACTAGACTAGACTATAGACTAGACTATAGACTAGACTATAGACTAGACTATAGACTAGACTATAGACCTAGACTATAGACTAGACTATAGACTAGACTATAGACTAGACTATAGACTAGACTATAGACTAGACTATAGACTAGACTATAGACTAGACTATAGACTAGACTATAGACTAGACTATAGACTAGACTATAGACTAGACTATAGACTAGACTATAGACTAGACTATAGACTAGACTATAGACTAGACTATAGACTAGACTATAGACTAGACTATAGACTAGACTATAGACTAGACTATAGACTAGACTATAGACTAGACTATAGACTAGACTATAGACTAGACTATAGACTAGACTATAGACTAGACTATAGA